GCGAGCGTTTTCCGAAATTCCACTTCGTCCACGTGCCCTTCCCTTGTAAAGCTCTCCAAAATTCGAGAAAAGAAGCGGGTTTCTTTTCCTAAGATTTAATCTGATGGCATCGATATTTAAGGTTTTCAGCAGGGATTTCGCAACTAGCATACAGATCGTGCATAAATCCGCGGTTTTCATGGGTTTTAGGCGTAAAATTAGCGAATACAAACACATAATAAAGAAAATGAACGTTGCTTGTTTACTCGCCTTGTCGACAGCTTCCGATATATATCTAAATCATAAAAATCGGACTCGACTGCCGACCGCTATGTTTGGCACCCTGTATACCTTTTAGAGTGCCAGATGTATCCGGCTCCCTACGTGGCCTACTTTGCGAACGGGACCTGCATGTGCCTCAGAAGACCCAACGCAGATGATACGCGGCCAACAATCTTGTTTAGCTACGGCACTCAGCAATGCTCAGACCTCCTCAACATCACGAGATTTGAATCCGATTTGAGGACATATCGGGAGCAGGAGCTGACGGATGGCCCCTCAACCTTATCAGATGGCATGAAGAAGAGAAATCCATGGTTAAATGGGCCAAATGACCTGGTAGGCAACGAGGCTGCATTAGAAATCTGTTTTAATGTCCAAAATTCGTTACCAGCTCTTGTTTATCGATTTAGCGGGCCACCCCTGTCGGCGACGATTCGGACGGCGACGCAGATAAACCGCAGCCGGGAAAATAATTTAATAAAATTGCTATGTTAAACGATACGTTAATGACGGCACTGAAATAATATTAGGTTGATCCGAAAGTCTTTACAATTCAACTTCAGAAACTTCTCTATAAAAGTTTTGTGGGCCGCTACTGTTGTTTATTTTTCCATATATCTGTTGGGTGAATAAATTGTATAATAAAAATTGCAAGTTTCTAGTCCCAGTCATTTTTATTATTTTTGCTTTTTCGCAGGGGGCGTCTCAAATTTTAGACTCGGACATCTTTCAGAAGCGCCATAAACTAACGGTAGGAATGAACCACTACCAATTTGATCAGTTGGCGACCTGCGAAATGCCGAAAAATGCCAAAAAGTAAATTGGAACAGTGACAAATCAAAATAAAAAATGATTGAGGAAAAGCCTTGCGATACCGTAGCAAGGGTTGGAAAGGGCAATTGATTATGCACAAGTCCATCACTAAAGCATTTAATTTCTGTAACATTTTCTGGAACGAAAGTTTAAAAGAATGAAAAATATTGTAAAAATGTATTCTTACTTTATATTATGTATTGTATATTATGTATTGTATTGTAATTGAAGTTCAATTTTGTGCCGCTACATCCCCTTGGAGCCGTTCGCTTTGTTACTCGGCGGTGAACGGCGTCGAAAAACTACGTTCAACAACTTCGTTCATATTTCTGTCATTCAGCTCCGGAAAAGCTTTTCCTGACGGCCTTGATCACTATTTTTCTGTTAGACTTTGATTTTAGTGCTACTATTACCACTACCATCACCAATTATTTCAACCTGATTTTCCAAAATCAAAGTTTTATTGCAACCAGCGATGTCTTCAACCTAAACCCCAGACGTTGTGGCTAGTCGTCGTCTTCACACTTTGTATCTATGCCCAAATCAATGTCAACGTAATTTTGAATGGCAATATAGCTACCGTAAAGCCCATCGGAACTCCATTCATAGCTGATTGTTACAAACGTAAGCATACTCATTAAAATTTCGGACAAACTTGAGATTCAGTATGCGAGAGTCTACAATCAAACTTTGTCGTGTACTTCACGAATTCTACTTGTCGATGCTTTGGCAACTCTCCGGCTACAAGCTACAACAACCTGCAAAATATCACGGACACTGTGAACGGCTGCTTGAATGCAACGACAAATCCGAATTTCCGGTGTGACATCGCCCGATACGCCGGGGAACAATTGATTTTGTCTATCGCCCTGATATCTCTTTCTGCCTGCGAATCAAAAGCTTAAAAATCGAAATGTGATGAATTTTGGAAAAACTTCGATTGTTGATAAATCCTTCCCCCCCCGGGGGCCCCCCTTTTTTTTTTTTTTTTTTTTTTTTTTTTTTTTTTTTTTTTTTTTTTTTTTTTTTTTTTTTTTTTTTTTTTTTTGAATGTGTTATAAATTGCGAATTGCAGAAAAACTTGCCATAAAACTGAGGGTAATTTGCATGTTTTAGAAAGGAGGAAAACGTTTTCAGGGACTGAATTACTGTAGAAATCGGGTAAAAATAATGTGCAAAACTTCACAGAATTTGTAAAACGCGTTTTGCTGAACCGTAGACCAAGAATACGTGATTCGAGCATTGGCGCTCTAACAATACGAAACGGCATCCACATAAGAAAGAGTGATAGAGAGAGGGAGGGAGGTAATGAGGGGGGAGAGAGAGAGAGAGAGAGCGAGGGGGCGAGAGAGAGGAAGAAAGCTAGAAAGATCATGAGGAGATAGAGAGCGAGAGGGAGAGAACGAGAGAGAGAGAGAGAGAGAGAGAGAGAGAGAGAGAGAGAGGGAGATTGAGTGATAGAGAGAGAGAGAGAGAGAGAGAGAGAGCGAGAGAGATGCATAGACAATTTTTCTAACCCGGAATTTTATTCAATTTGTGAAAGAAACTATTCCTTTTTGTTTCCTAGCCACCAATAAAGCTTTTGCACTTTTCTAAGCCCCGACGTAAGGAGTTGTTTAGCAACGACAGAACATCCGGCTCAGTACACCCCTTCGATCCACGGGCTTTCACAAACTTCTAGACGTCTATGACCGAATATGCAGCTTGTCTTCCTCCTATTGCCAGTCATCCATGTGGCACAAGCAGCTGAAATTGAAATGGCGCAGCTAGCGCTTTTTACAAATGAAGAAATCAAACCGGCGGGCTGCTATTACAGTAGGTCTTCTTAATCTTCCGTGCAGAAAATCTTCTGATGCAGATTCTTTTTGCGTTTGCAACAAGTATTCCGGCAGATTGGGCCTCGGCATTTATACGGAAGATTAAGCGTCAACCCGTTTCAACCTAGAAAATTTTTTAGTTTCAAGAACTGAGCTTGGAAATAGCCTATATAAGCCATTTTAACATATTGAAATTTGCCCCCATTTGCAAGTCTTTCTGTACATGTCTCTGTCAATCTTACTGCAACTCAAAAAGAAAAAATCAATCGTCCCGGTTGTAAAACATGGATTTTTTCGATACCTTTAAAACCACGGTATCGATCTGGCTGAAAGTTTTTGCGAACAGTTTTAGCTATTCTTCCGCATCTCTGTTCAAAGTTTGAAATCGCTCGGATCTGAAATGACCTGCCAGCGTGACTTCGTTTTCTAAGGAAATCATTTAGCTTGCAAGATTTGGCCCGCCGCCTATGTGGCCTACTTTGCGAACGGGACCTGCCAATGTATGAGAAGGCTCAACGACAACGAGTCGGAGACAACCTACTTGCTCAGCTATGGAACCGAGCAGTGTTCAGAGCTTCTAAACATTACGAAATTTCAATCCGATCTGAACAATTATCGGGATCAGGAGCTGACGGATGGTCCATCAACCGTGAACGAAACTATGAAAACGACCAAGCCTTGGGTATCGGTGCGAATTGGCCGGGTAGGAGATAATGCTGCCTTAGAGTTATCGGTTTTGGTTCTTTCGCATTATCGGGGGGGCACTTTTTCTCAGACATGGCAAACGGCCGGGCCGCCGGCTTTTTTCGGCCGGAAAAATTAGCATGCGGCCGAGCCGCGCGGCTGGGCCGGAGCTTCCGGTCTGGCCCCGGCTTTTTTATGTTTTGAGGCCGGAGCCCCGGCCAAGCCGCCGGCTTTTGAAAAGCCGGAAAGCCGGACCCAAATGAGGTTTTCGTGTTTCCGGTACGCAAATTGCGGATTCAATCAATAATTGGCTTTATGGCAAGGGCTAAACTATTCCACCAAAGAAAGTTTGTCATTTCTATTCACAATTTTGCATAGGATACACGGATTCTATAAGTAAATGAACAACTTCCGGTTTCCCGGCTCGGCCGGACCGGCTTGGCCGGGCCGCAACTAAATGCCGGCTGGACCGGGAAGCCGGGTTTCCGGAAGTAAGTCATTAACGCGGCTCGTAAGGGGCCGGGTTTTTATGGAAATTAGGCCGGCGGCTCGGCCGGGCGGCTGGGCCGGCCGGGATTGCCATGTCTGCTTTTTCTCAAGCTCCAATTTTTCCAATATAATTTGAGAAAGTGTTTCTCAGCTGTTTTTTGCTATTCCTAAGCGTAAAATTCAAAATTTTAATAAAAAAACTAAATAGATTTTTCGACCAACAAATGTCCGATTCTCGACCAAAATCTCTGCCAAAAAAAATTGTTTACAAAATTTTCTGATTATTTTTCAACTTAAAATATAGCTACCCTTGCTTAAAACGCTATTGAAACTTTTACTATTACGTGACTAGGAATTTCTGGACTAATAGGAAAAAAGCTGACCTGATAAAATATTCGGCTGGCGAAAGAACCTCGATTTTCGTTGCAAAGCGATGTCACTTATCCATTTTGCAGGTGACCCCGGCCGGCGACGATTCGGACGAGGATGTGGTGGATTGGCATTCGGGCATATAATTTATGGGACGTGTTTTGTGGCTGTTAAATTTTTAATTTGTATATCGTTTTCAATAAAAGTTCAAACTCAGGCAGCAGCAAAATAAAAACATATAAAACTATTATGTACGCTTTTTAATGACAGGTGCATTTCTCAATGAATTTTTCGGCTCAAGCGGATGGAAACCATCTAAAATCGAAAAAGTAACGGTGGAAAACATTACATTTCGAAAAGGAAAGTGAAAGGAAAGACACGACCATAAATAATCACAAATTCTTCAATTTGGGAGAGAAATTAGTTTTCCCTGGATTCCTAGCCATCGCAAAAATTTTTGTTTTTGTTGGTCTTCCTTGTCGGGGTAAAAGTGTTGTTTAGCAACGACAAAACTTCCGCTTGGGTACGTTCTTTCGATTCGGGATTTTTCACTTAACTCTGACTACGATGCTGTTTATCCTGATCATGCTCTCGTTTCTTCACTTGATCCAAAGCTCCACGATACAACTGACAGTGATATCAAAGGTACCAGCCGACACCGGAAGTACGATACGATGTTACTCCTGTGAGTTTTGCAGTTTAACTTGAAACCTGAAAGTCGATGTGCTTCCCTGATCCGTTCAGATTGCGTGGGTACGATCGCGACTCATATTGCTTATTATGCGTCTGGTGAATGTGATTGTCTGAGAAGACCGTATGAAAACGACTATGTAGCACCGATAACCCTCAGCTATGGGTCTGAACAGTGCGCGGCGCTTGAGAATATTTCAAAATTCACCTACGATCTGACAATGTACGGTGGTCGAGCGCTAACGGCTAGTCCATCCGCCATTTCTGGTGTCATGCAGACGGTGGATCCATGGATCGGCGGGCAGAGTGTCGAGACCACGGTACGGAATGCGCAAACGTAACAACCTCCCTTCGAAACAAATTAGCCTTCCGCGAGCCGTTGTAACATTTCTCTACGTAAAGCTCTGTTTTTAGGCAGCAACTAATGGCGACATAGAAGCGGCTGTCAAGATACCGACTTGATTCACTGTGTTCGTGATTGTTAAATTTTTTCACCTATGGAAGCCACCCGCAAATAAAAACAGATGCTAGCTTGATAAACCCCGTGCAAACCAACTTATTAAATTCTAGTGACAGGATATCAATTAGCTCCGGTTGCCACAAAGTACGTTGATGGTATTATTTTCATTTCGTCGACAATAATGTCGAAATTCATTGTCGAAATTTGATTTTGTCGTCATATTAAGGTTTGTCGAAATTTTAAAAGGCCGTTTGCGAGCCACCCGAACAAGGCTTGGCACAGTTTTTTTTCGACGCTGTTTTTTGACGCCATCTGAAAGAGCATGGTCGAATTAGTGGGGTGGCACTATTTTGAGAATTTTAACAGTTTAATTTCGGGGTTAAATCGGCCGTTAAAGTTGCCGATGTCAAAAAATTATCTCGAAAGTGACTTGAGGGAATTTGCTAAAAATTGCTGTGCATGCCTAATTTTAGACGCTGATCATTTCTCTAATACATCGCAAAACGCGAAAATGACCGGAACATAGTTAAATCATGTACTCGAGATGGTTTTCCCGAAATCCATAAAAAACGGCCTTTTCTGCGCTCCATGAAAATAGCGTAGAAAGATGCGCCATATTTTTTTACGTCGATACATGTGTCGTTTACCCGGAAACCAGCTCCCCTCCTCTTGCTACAACTCGTTTTATACGCCAAAAACGCGCAAAAAATGGCCCCCAAAAATACAAAATCTCCGGTTCGGAAAAAATAAGACAACAGATCGCATCTAGAAGACGAGCCGAAGCGAATGCAAAAAAGAGCAAAAAAATTCGGCTTCTGAGAGGGGGCTGGGATTGAACCCGCGCCGCCTCTGGATTGGCACGCCAACGCCCTACTCATTGCGCCACGGGGCTCCCAGGCGGAGGGTCCGGGTTCGATTCCGCAACATTGAAATAAGGCTAATTTCTTTTTGCTCTGTTTTGCAATCGCTTCGGCTCGTCTTCTAGATGCTATCTGTTGTCTTTATTTTTCCGAACCGGAGATTTTGTATTTTTGGGGGCCATTTTTTGCGCGTTTTTGGCGTATAAAACGAGTTGTAGCAAGAGGAGGGGAGCTGGTTTCCGGGTAAACGACACATGTATCGACGTAAAAAAATATGGCGCATCTTTCTACGCTATTTTCATGGAGCGCAGAAAAGGCCGTTTTTTATGGATTTCGGGAAAACCACCTCGAGTACATGATTTAACTATGTTCCGGTCATTTTCGCGTTTTGCGATGTATTAGAGAAATGATCAGCGTCTAAAATTAGGCATGCACAGCAATTTTTAGCAAATTCCCTCAAGTCACTTTCGAGATAATTTTTTGACATCGGCAACTTTAACGGCCGATTTAACCCCGAAATTAAACTGTTAAAATTCTCAAAATAGTGCCACCCCACTAATTCGACCATGCCCTTTCAGATAGCGTCAAAAAAACAGCGTCGAAAAAAACTGTGCCAAGCCATATTAGGGACTGTTCGAGTGACTCGCGGATGGCCTTTTAATTGCTTTTTTCGCCACGATTATTCTTATCAAACTGTTTGCAAATTGATTTTTCAGGGCTTTGGAATTTTGGCAAAAAGAATTTCGACAAAATAAGTTTTCGACAAAACTAATGTCGACATATTGATAGCAAATCACATTTCTTTTTCGAAAGTGACTCTAGTTAGCCATCCAGCTTTGCCTCGCAACGGTCTTCGCTGGCGACATGCGTATAAATTCGGGCCATCAGCAACGACAATTCAAAGGTATGCGGTGGCTGATCGTTGTGTTCTTATTTTGTATCGATGCCCAAGACAACTTCAACTTAATTTTACAAGACTATATCGTCCCCCCCCAAAACCAATGGGGCACCTCTAAAAATGGACTGCTATGCAAGTAAGCCGATCCGATCGTAGATCAGTCATACGTAACTTGTAGCGTGCTGGAGACTAGAATCCGACTTTGTCGTGTATTTCACCAACAAAACCTGCCAGTGCTTTGTCAAACTACAACCGACTACCAACTACCAAAGGCTTCAAAATATCTCAAGCACCGCTAAAGGCTGCGTGAAAGCAGCGGGCAATGACAATTTCAAATGGGATTTGAGCCGATATGCCACCGACAAAATGTTCCCTGGATGAGTCTAACAATGCAAGCGATAAATCTGCAAAGGCAACTGAATGTCTAAGTTGCTCACGAAATTACACTGCTTAAAATATATAAATGTTAAAGACCTTCCGCGGCTCAGCCGACCAGCCCCCAGTATGGCTTGGTACAGTTTTTCGACCCTGTTTTTTTGACATCATCTGAAAGAGCATGGTCGAATTAGTAAGGTGGCACTATTTCGAGATGTTTAAAAGTTTACTTTCCTAGTTAAATTTGGCTCTAAAGGTGCAAAGCTCAAAAATTGTCGCCGAAACTACCGGGTCGAATAGGCTCAAATTTTGTGACTAACATGTAGAGGTTGTCAGGTCACAAGTTCCAAACCGGCTGAAAATTGGTGGAAAAATCGAATAAAATACGGGGAACACGATGCGATAAAAATTATCTGCTAATGGGCACTTTTGTTTAATAAACTTTTCATTTTAAGATTTTGTATGGAAAACCCACCTAGATTCGCAGCGAGCCTGGCCAGAACCAGGGCGCGCAGGCGCGAGCTCTTGAAGCCTCTCCAAGGGCCCCCGGCCGTCGGCCCGGTGGTGTAGGGGTAGGGTGCGGGGAATAATAGTCGAAAGGTCACGGGTTCGGTTCCCACATTTTTTATTTTTTTTTGCTTTTTGCTGTTTTTGCTTTTATTTTGTAGGGAGCGCGTCTAGAATAGTTTTTATAATGGTTTTCGGTCCTATTAATCAGTAGCGGCCGCCTCGACAAAAAAATAAATTACAAAATTTTGGAAGTTTTTGCAAAAAAGGGCCTACCTACCTATTCCTACTCCATGAAAATCGACAGGATAGTTAATACAGATTACTTTTTGTACAGGTATTGTAAAGAAGCAGTCATTATCGGGATCTGGAATCTATGGGCTCTGATTTTAAACACCTGGCGTCAGAACTAACTATTTTCGGCAGCTGCTAACCCACCTAGCGGCCAAAGCTATGCGATAGGTCGTCACAATTTTCGGAGAAAAATTTTTTCAAATAAAATTTTTTTCCGGGTGTGGGAAGGTACCTAGTGTCATACTTTCCGTGGCAATTCGATCGAAACCTTTATTCCGAGACGGAAAGCCCGGTTAATCCGCTGAAAGTCCATTTTACCTTCATTTTTCTTACTTAAAATGAAAAGTTTATTAAACAAAAGTGCCCATTAGCAGATAATTTTTATCGCATCGTGTTCCCCGTATTTTATTTGATTTTTCCACCAATTTTCAGCCGGTTTGGAGCTTGTGACCTGACAACCTCTACATGTAAGCCTAATTTGGGATGCGGATCATTTTTCTAATACATTGCGACGCACGAACATGGCCGGAACAGAGGTATATTGCGTACCAAAACAGTTTTTTGCAGTTTTCGACTTGATGGGTGTTCGGCCGCATCATGAGACTAGCATAGAAAGATGCGCCATTCTTTTCTGCATTGATTGATGTATTTTTTATCAGGCGGACAGACACCCATTTGCGGGAATATTCCATTTAGTACGCTCAAAACGCACGAAAAATGTACTCGAAAAATTTGCGCTTTTTTGCAAACGCTTCAACTCGTCTTCTAGATGTGTTTTCATGCTTCAAAATCCAAAAAAAAAATTTGTTATGCATTTTTCGAGTACAGTTTTCGTGCGTTTTGAGCTTACTAAATGGAATATTCCAGCAAATGGGTGTCTGTCCGCCTGATAAAAAATACATCAATCGATGCACAAAAGAATGGCACATCTTTTTATGCTAGTCTCATGATGCGGCCGAACACCCATCAAGCCGAAAACTGAACAAAAAACTGTTTAGTACGCAATATATCTGTTCCGGCCATTTTCGTGCGTCGCAATGTATTAGAAAAATGATCCCCATCCCAAATTAGGCTTAGTCACAAAATTTGAGCCTATTAGGCCCGGTAGTTTCCGAGATAATTTTTTGAGGTTTGCAACTTTAGAGCCAAATTTAACAAGCAAAATAAACTTTTTAACGTCTCAAAATAGTGCCACCCTACTAATTCAATCATGCTCTTTCAGATGACGTCAAAAAAAACAGGGTCGAAAAAACTGTACCAAGCCTTGTTCGGGTGACCCGCGGACGGCCTCTTAATTTTTGATTTTAACAAAGCTGGATCTCACGACAAACTTTTCTCGGCAAAAAATTTGTTTAAAAGTCGCATTGAAAAGCATCAAGCTTCTAGATAAAAATAAATCGTTCGCAAGTTCAGAAAAATGCCGGCCATAGCTCTTTTTAAAATTGCTCCATTAGTTACTTGGTCGCCGCCGGCAAGGAAGAAAAGCCCTGGTTCCCAAATTTTTGTTGAACTCCTCAAAATGCTGCTTCTAATCTCGATTTTCCTGTATGGAATAAATGCACAAAATACTTTTAATTTGGTTTTTGAAAGTAAAACTGTGCTCGCCGAATCTGTTGGCGGCTCGCTGACTAGTGATTGCTATGAAAGTAAGTCAATTATTCGAAAATTAAGAAGCAAGTTGGAATAATTCAGATTGTGCGAGCCGGCAAGCCAATTATATCGTATTTTTCGCAAATGTGACTTGCCAGTGCTTTACTGAAACAGCGTATCCGCCCTTTAACCACTTTCCAAATATTACGGATTCGTTGGCGAGCTGCCAAAATGCATCGCAAAATCAGGATTTTGAAGAAGATATAGGACGATATCGGAACTTTACAACTTCGAGCCGCAGCGCCACAAGAGGAGAAACAACAGCAACAACAACGACATCCAAAACAACGGCAACAACGCCTACAACGCGAACAACGACGACAGCGACGACGACGATAACAACAACACCAAATATAGCTAAGGCAGTAAGCTACTTATTGAGACGTTACAACAGCGAAATTCGGTCACTACCTGAGTAACGGCAAATTATTCTATTCTTCAAAAAGATTGAAAATAAAGATTTCTTCAATAATAACACTTCTCTTTAGTAATCCCTTTAGCCATGTTTATCTTCTTGGCTAGAATGGACCGCAGTTGGTAGCTGCTCGAAAAAGTGTGGAATGAAGGGCCAGCTACAGCGCGTGAGATCCTGTTCTTCAACCGATTGCGATTGCGAGTCTGTTTCCAAATCGGGATCTTATTATCGCCTGATATTACATAGAACTACAAAAAGAGCTTCATTTTAGAGGTGATCTCGTCGATACAATTGCATGTCCGGAAAAGCTGTGTGATTCCGGCCCAATCTGCGAAGAGGGGTATGAGAAGAAAGTGAAAGGGAGCTCATTTACTTGCCAACCAACCGAAGGAGCCGGCTAAAAGGCAATGAGTGAATTTGGCTATTACTTTGTTGATAAATTAAAACTGTTAAACGTGCGAACAACACGCTAACTACCAATATACAGGTGTCCCAAAAAAATTCCCCTCGGCATTTGGCCGCCTCCCAACTGATGGCCCTGGAATTTTGATCAGGCCCGAAGACCCATAAAGCCTAGATACCAGACGAATGCTTGAAGCAAAATATTGTTAAAAAGAGCTGCCGCCAAGAAAGGGATTTTTGGAAATGTTATTATGCGTTTTCGACTATGTTCCTGCAATAAGCATGCGGTTTTTATGGGTAATTTCCCGAAAGGTCATTATCGCAAGATCGAATATATCGGGCCGATTTCTGGAGTTTTTGATGATAAAAGTGATGAAAGGTCCATCTTAAAACCATATTTTCGTAAAACAAAATCGCCAGCGTAAAAAAAGACATTAGCCTCTTCGTTTTTGCGATACATTATTCCAAATCGGTCAAATCCTATTTGATTTGTATTACACTGCAGTTCAGCTGTACATTCGCATCACAAACTTCAGGTTAATAAATTTTGAACGATACATCTTCCTAGCGTTGTCCCATTTGTTACTTGGTAGCGAGTAGCGTGGAAAAGCGGGGGTTCCAAAACGAAGCTTGTGGCAAGGTCCGTACCACGTTCCAAAATGTTGTTTTTAACCCTGATGACAACTATTCTCCTATTCTGCTTTGATGCTACTAATTCTGCTATCCCCACGACCACTATTAATGATTTTAATCTGATTCTCGAAGATCAAATTATTATCGGGAAAAGCAATGGGGTTTCGATGAAATTGGATTGTTATTTATGTGAGGTTTGAAGAAAATAAAATTAATAGAATACTAATAGTTAACAATGAAAAATTCAGCATGCGCCAGAAAGGGGGCAAAATACGTCGTCTATTTCTTGAATGCTACCTGCCAATGCTTTAACAAAACGGCATCCGGACCCTCGAAGGGCTATGAAAATATCACGGCTTCGTTGCTGAGCTGCCAGGCCGCGGCTCTGATTTCCGATTTTGAAGTAGATATCACAAGCTATTTAAACCTTGTACACAGTACAAGTACAAAGTCAACTGCTCCGACGACTACTACGGTAAAAATTAGAAATTTTAAAAGAAGAAAAACACGCGTATTCAACGCTAACACGTTTAGGCCTGCCCTTCCACCTGGACCGAATGGGTCGAAATCACGCCCTGCACGGCTAGCTGCGGAATGTACGGCACGCTGCGACGCAACAGAAGCTGCATACTCGCAGAAAGTGGATGTCAATGCAGGTATGACCATAGATTAGTCTTGGAACCACGTCCCTTCAGCGGCTCTGGTGAAGGTGCCATTGCGTGTCCAGACCCGCATTGTACTTTCCCGGTCGAGAAATGCGCCGATGGGTACGCGAAGAAATTAAATAAGATCACCAAGGGTTATACCTGCCAAGCGATCGACACCAGCAACACCACAGCAAAAATTAATCTAGTTGATGATTTGGTTTGATTGGTTTTGATAGCTGATTTGGTTGTACTGTTGAACTCCTTGAATAGCTACATTCTTAAAATTAAAATCTAATAAAGTGATTTAGCGACAATTTTGAACTATTGCATTGTATAAAAAGAAATATTATATTAATTATGCCCGATTTCCGCCCTGGTCAACGCCAAAAATATCCAAAGTCCGGATTTTCCGCCTCAGCAGTAGGCGAAGGGCAAGCTTATAAATTTTAGTCCATAGCGCTGCCTGGCCTCGTTCCATTTGTTACTTGGTTGCGGGAAACTGAGCAAAACTGGATATGCTCTAATTTTGAGCCGATTTCTAAAATGTTGCTTCTAACCTCTATTTTCCACATATTATCTTTTCTTCAAATCGGAGCCCAAACCAATTTTACCCTGGTCTTTGAAAACAGCAATTTTTCCGCTGAACCTAATGGTATTGCACTAAACGAGGATTGCTATGACAGTAAGAATAATATAGCTAACCTGAATTTTGTGCAACCCCAGCTTGTGCGGCCCGCCATGCAAACTACGTGGTATATTTCTTAAATGCCACATGCCAATGCTTCAACAGGACGACGATCACTAACTCTAAAAACTTGCCGTATATAACGGACTCCTCAATGAGCTGCGAGAATGCATCACAAATTGAGGGGTTCAAAAATGATTTGACAAATTTCCTAAAGACGAAGTTTACAAGCCGTGCCACAACCCGCCAAACGACATCAATGGTGCGGCAATTCGTGGAAACTAGGATATTTTTGTAACGAGACCCTTCCAGCCCTGCGTTTCTTACTGGACGGAATGGGTGGAGACTACAGGCTGCTCTGCGACCTGTGGAATGTATGGTACGCTGAAACGCACCAGAGCTTGCCAATCTGCAATCGGCGTATGCCCATGCGAGCCAGTTAACTTCATTCATTCAAATCCGCCATTCGTAGGGGATCTCGAGAGGAGAAGATCGATTGCCCGATCGACATATGCATGGGGACGGCTAAATCTGCTTGCAATCCTGCAGGATATGCCAAGCAAATTCGCACCGATGCACCGGGATTTACACTGGTGGACATAATTTTAACGGCACCCAGAATTTTCGAAAATTCTCGATAGTAGAGTTGTTTCGAGAAAAGCTTTCTATTGAAGCAAGTTGCCGTATTCCATCACAATACGGTACCCCACAACCGTTTTTCCATTCCAGGCCGAGAAATTTTTTTAAGAAGACTTTCATCAAAAAAGCACTTTGGCCGGCGGCCATAATTATAACGGCACTCCCGGAAAAAAATTCTTAAAATTCGGTAATTGATAGCAATTGGCTAAAAACGATTTCAATAACCTTTGGCTACCCCATTTGGCTGAAACGGACGGAAGAGACCGCTCTCCAAGTCCAGATCAGGCCCTTCAAGCAGCTTTTAGCCTGACTTGTTGCGGTCGTCAGAAAATCGTCTGCGCGAGCTCTCTACGCTCTGTTCCAGGGTTGGAACGTGTGTCCTAAGAAGCCTGGAACATGTTCAAACATGCTCGAGTCAAATCAGCAGGCTTGCCAAGCCGGCGCTTCGCTTCCAAGCCCTTAGAATTCACTCGGGGGCCGCCTGATTCGAGTAAGCGAGGCTTGTTCCCGTTAGAAAAATGAATTTTCCGTTTGTCCTTCTACCGATTCCGTCTCCCATATCGAAGAACTCCATGGCCGAACTCATTATTGTATCCGGATTCGCTAAATCACAAGGATTGTCATGAAAAAGACTTGCCCCGCATTGACGCTACCCCCTGAAAAATTTTTCCTGGAAACCAGGAGGCTTCTGGCAACTTCTGGCTGCTTCTGGTGCGAGAGAGCTTTCCATCTATTGCGCTGACAATTTCTACGCGTCAGCAAACCGATCTGGAGCGCTTCCAAACTCGTTAAGAATAACGGTGACTTATTCAGTCCGCTGTCAAGCTGCTCAGATTGAATTGGACTCGATTTGCTTGATTTCCTTTATTTCAATTTCTCGTGATGTGTTAAGCGAATGAGTACGTCGATGGGCGAGACGGAATCGGTAGAAGGACAAACGGAAAATTCATTTTTCTAACGGGAACAAGCCTCGCTTACTCGAATCAGGCGGCCCCCGAGTGAATTCTAAGGGCTTGGAAGCGAAGCGCCGGCTTGGCAAGCCTGCTGATTTGACTCGAGCATGTTTGAACATGTTCCAGGCTTCTTAGGACACACGTTCCAACCCTGGAACAGAGCGTAGAGAGCTCGCGCAGACGATTTTCTGACGACCGCAACAAGTCAGGCTAAAAGCTGCTTGAAGGGCCTGATCTGGACTTGGAGAGCGGTCTCTTCCGTCCGTTTCAGCCAAATGGGGCAGCCAAAGGTTATTGAAATCGTTTTTAGCCAATTGCTATCAATTACCGAATTTTAAGAATTTTTTTCCGGGAGTGCCGTTATAATTATGGCCGCCGGCCAAAGTGCTTTTTTGATGAAAGTCTTCTTAAAAAAATTTCTCGGCCTGGAATGGAAAAACGGTTGTGGGGTACCGTATTGTGATGGCATACGGCAACTTGCTTCAATAGAAAGCTTTTCTCGAAACAACTCTACTATCGAGAATTTTCGAAAATTCTGGGTGCCGTCAAAATTATGTCCACCAGTGTACTTGTCAGCCGGTCACCTCTGATAACAGCGCGGATTCAACAATTCCGGACGAGCTTGAGGAGGAGCTCGAGCTACTCGACGTTTGACACTTGTTTCGGGCCGCTTTACTGTTGACACCTAGAAAATAAATATACCCCCACGTTCCGTTGCTAACTGAAGACTGTCATTCACAAAATCCGCCCTCAATACAATTATTTATCGAAATCACCACGGGAAACACGCAAACCGGCTCGGCGAAAATGAGATATTCAGAAAATTGCGAGCCACGGGGCTCGGGGCTTAATCTTCGCGGAGCGGCAGGAAAGTCGAGGTGATGGGTTGCCCGGCCCTGGCGATGATCAGATGAATCTTGTCACCGGTGGAGATCTCGCGTTCGGCTGCGCCGCGGAAGGCGTCCTAGATTTTGGATTTACAGAAAATAGGGTTCTTTTACCTTGATCAATGAGGTGGCGCGTTCAATTGTCAGCGCAGGTCGTTCGATACCATCGGCGAGCGTCACGTGGCCAATCTGGAAAAAATTATATGATTAAAAAGCTAAATAACAGAAAATACGTAAAGCGAAACGAAAAATACATTCAATATGCCTTTTATTTTCGCATCTATTTCTTTTGTAAACGTCTAGCAAGATATTTATAGGCGTTATACGCACAGTTGATCGTCAATACCTAATTTTCAGATGAAGAAACCTCTTTGGGTTTCAATGATCACAAAAGCCATCAGAACAATACCTGACAATCCAAAAACGGGATGAGCATCGGCTCGGCGGCGCCGGAAGCCGTGTAGCTGAGACGCTCGATGCATCCGATTGGGTCGTAGCTGAACACGGCTCCCTTTCCTAAATAAACGTTTTTAGAAGCCGGAAAAGTTGTACCATTCTCATCGACTCCAGCCAGGATGGCGCCCGTGTAGTAGGGGAAGAATCGGCGGTAGTAAAGGTTCCTAAAAAAAGAAAGTACAGTTTAAGAAACTTGGTGTCTAGCAACCTTGAAAGCAATTCCGAGCACAGATCGACCGTCATCTCGGAGCCGAAATCGAAGCGGTACTTGTGGAGGCGTGACTAAATCAAAACAATGAAAAACCCGATGAGTCATTACCATTAAAACACGCTTCAGCTGGAGCACGTCGCCGTAGAACCCGGAGGTGGCCAGCACGCAGTTGTTGTTGAGCACGTGCCTATAAAGCAAAAGTGTAAGAATAAAACCTTCAAAAAATTACATTTTCTCGGCATCACGCGTGATGATGTTGATCTCATGTTGGGACATACGCGTATCCGACGCCAACACCACAAAGTCAGCCCCGGCGATGGCGCAAGTTGATCTGAAAATGAAATTGCGGAATTTGTGCAAAAAACGGACCCGCCCTCGAAAGAGTAGGGGTTCCAGCGCTGGCGCTCGATCAAACGCGCGTTCTTCCAGTCCGGATCAGCGACAACCTAAAGATAAAGGTTTCCGAATAGCGGAAGGGGCTTTACCTCGGAGAATGCCGTCTTGAAGGCCTTCATCTGGCCGAGGGGGTCAGTCTTCGCGTCGTACTTCATGGTGCTCGTAGAAGCTGGAAAAGAAGGAATAGTTTAGAGAAAAAGGAATCAGCGACAGAAATAGTTCAGAAAATAGGTAAGGATCTGAACTACAGCATTGCGAATTCATTGACGTAAACGTCTGTGTAAGCCTTTATATTTTCAGCCAATTTCTATGAAATATGGATATTTACAACCCGGTCAGTTTTCATTTTATAAAGTTTCGAGAAAGAAGCGCTAAAAGAAACAAATTTACAACAAAAGGAAGAGAATTTTTCGTGATGATAAAACGGAGTTGGAATCGCGCCTGGCTACAAATAGCGCCTATGGACACCGCCTTTACGAACGAGCGGAAACCAGCGAAAAACACTGGGAGACGCCTTACAAACTTATAAAAGGCATTAAAAATATCATAAAAACTCAAAGTAATACTAGAAAAATTATCAAGCCCAGTAATAGTCACTACTACTAATACTAAAACAAATACAGGATACTTTTTTATCGAGGCCTTACTACGCAAAAACGGGACTGCAAATCAAATCACGGCATTTCTTTACCGATTAATTTGGTTCGAAACGCAAAAAAGTGCGATTTCAGCTCCAAACCCGGTTGTTTCGTTACTCGTAAAAAAAGTGTCAGCTTTGATTAATAACTCGGCGATAGCGACCCAACACCCGGGGCAACGTAGGCATTTTTCTTTTGGAAAATGGGCTTGACACCCGCGGCAACCACACCTAGCAGAGCTTCGGCAATTTCGGACTGCTTTCCCAAAATGTTTCTAATCTGGATTTTTGGCTCGTTGATTCTACCAGCAACCGCATATGAAATGCAAACTGACACTTACGGATATCTTGAATTGGCTGATGGAACCACAAAATTCATTGGCACGGATTCCGGAACCCTCAAACTCACCACGAGGTCTTACTACGATAGTAAGTGGGTCGTGGTTTTATAACACCCAAGGATCCGGCCATTTTTTTTTGACAGCTTTCAGCTTAATTTTTACCGATTATTCCGGGCCGGCTGCCTTTCCACATGGAACGCAGATCTGATAAAAAATAGTGTGTTTTTACGTATCCTTTTGATTCTAGCATGTAAGTCGCGTTTTGCCAACTACGTTGCATATTACGCAAATGGTACCTTCCAATGCCTTGCTGACGCGGTCACGGCTGACGTAAATGAATCTGCCAAAAATCAGTCAATGATCAAGGAGGACCCAGCCATTTGCAAACAAATCACGGACGCAAAAGTAGCGAACGATATTGAGAAGCATTGGGAAGGTATGGAGGCTACGACTTGGTGAACTTGCCGGGTGTGTGGGTTTCCTCTCTCTCTCTCTCTCTCTCCTTCTCTCTCTCTTTCTCTTTCTCTCTCTCTCTCACTTCCTGTTTTAGCGTGTTTAATAAATATTCATATTACTACAATGAAAACGTTTTTACAACGAAAATATTTACAGGTGTTAGTCCATTGCAGAGCGAGATAATTAAATTAAAGCTCTATATTTTTCTCGGTAGACCACTGTTAATAAGAAAAATATACCTCAGGGCTCTTTCGCAAAATCGCCCCACTTTTTGAACCCCAAGTCCAAGTATTTCGCCACGTGCACCGAAGTACACTAGCATCAATCTTTCAAGAGAAAAGTGAAGAGACATCTTTGAGGGTATAGAGACAGCGTTTTTCGAGAGCAAAAAAGAGAAAGAGCGAGTACCGCCCTGCCAGAACGCAACCTTTCCCTCGAAGAACCTATCCGAACTGTGCCATTTTCTGTTTAACGCGCTTCGGTTCCTTGGTCTATGTGGTGGGACAATTGTAAACATGAGTGTTTGCCTGCTCCGTCCCTTGAGTCATCCATTTCGGCTACCGCTTTCCCGTTGCTTTGCTGTGTCTTATGAAAGACAGAAATGAATGATCGTCCCGATTCGATGTCAACTTTTTGCGGGCATTTTTCGTATTATACTTATTGTACTGCTTAAATGGTGCGGGATCCAGATTGCAGGTATCGATTTTTTAGCGATTTTTGAGCTTTAAAGAGAGCGGAAATGCAAAGCTGTGTTTTTTTGGCCATGCTTCATTTCGCTGGGCCGCGACACGCAACGCACGCGCCTATCATTCCGTTGCGTAATAGATTGAATCGCGGTAAAAGGCCATAGAATTGACCATGAATTGACTATGAATTTCACGCTGCCCGCGGGACATTTTAGCGCGTTGCGTATCGCGGTCTCGGACAAAAATAGCACAAACGCGGAAAATGTCGATAGATTCACCTTGCTGCGCCGCGACACGCAACGCGTCTGCATATGCTTTCATTCATTGAACGTTTCGTAACGCGCGATGAAACGGCCGCGTTGCGTGACGCGGTCGCCGTAAGTCCATAGAAAATCCATGGGCAAAAATTCCTAGCCCTACCTTGCCCGTCCCTTTAAATCCAAAATTCGTATTCGTGCAAGCTACAAAATATTTAGTTTACCTGGTGTGGATCTTCTTGATCCTCCCCATTGTCGTCTCTCTAGTTACCGAACTAACTTATAGGTCGGTTTAACCAAGATTTTCGAGATTCTTAATCCAATCATTTTTTAAAACATCCAATTTAGCTGTCTCCGCTCCCCCGATGAAGATTATTTCTATCGATGCGCGGCGGCCGGGTAAATATTACGGTGTAGATTTTGCAGTTATCTACGCACATTGAATAGTGATAAATATGTAATTTACGGTTTTCAAAGGCCTTGACAAACCTTGCGGATCTGCTCGTTCATAGTACACAGCGGTTACGATACCGTAACATCTGAAATGAACCTTGGTGCATATCAGGAAGTATTTTCAGGTTGTATGAGAAACATGAATCGATAATACAATTCTAAAGATACGTTTCAAGCTTACGTACGTGCCCGCATCGCCATCGGTTACAACCATCGTCAACATCGGCTGCGACGCACCCGGTTCGTCGTAACGTCATCGGCCAGAATTTGGAATTTCCCAATTTTCAAAGTTCTTTTTTAGACAGTTCCTTTGAAAATATAGCTAGATTTTACTAAAAACTTTAATAAAAGTCCGTTGCTTTCCGTTAATACGTATTTCTTGACCATTTTCCGGTGGATCGAGCGTCAACTAGGGCTATTTTCTGTAAATTATTACTGACCAACGAACGTAGCTTAGCAGCAACGTCTATTTCCTAAGGCAAGGCCAATTTCCAGCAAAGAAGATACTGTATAAACCTCAGATCTAAACCAGCTGGTTACAAAGTCAAGATACCGCCGCCATCCAACAGTCTGCATAAACATTTACATGTGGCCAAAAAGAGAACGGACAGCTAAAGGGACGACTAGCCAAATGTGGAGCGATTGGCGGAAATGTGTTGCGGGTGACTTTTGAAGGCGATCGGCTCGATTGGGGCACCCATTAACACATGGCCAAGGATGGGGGAGCGCCACTCGCATTTCCTCCCTCAAAACAGCCCTCAACATACAGATTGCCCGGCCGTGCCTCACCCTCTGGCCACAACCACCCGCCAACAGTCTCCCATCTTTGTCTTGCGCATTCCTCCTTATAGGGTTTGGGCATTCGGACCTCGGAGCGATTGGAACACATCGAAACTTTGGTTTTCAACATCATACCTTTCTTTTACGTCGCTGTTCTTTAGCTGCCTGTCTGATTTCCTTCCTTTTCTGCGTGTAACTGTGCAGGCGCGATTTGCTATTGTTTTGTATTGCAAGCTGAACCTCTGAATTTTTTTTGTAACGCTTAGCACATAGTAGCTGGCTAAAAATACCATGAGTTTTGGGGGCAAGATCGAGATTGCTTCACTATTTAAAATTTAAGCATTCAAGATTGAGCATTTTAAGATTTTTGAAAGGTACAAATATGCGTACGAAACGATGATACGGTATACCAGGTGCTGTTGCCGTGTCGTCACGGATTTAGGGGAACATATAAAAAAAAATCTGTAGCGCATTTATTGGCCTAGCGCGTAGCTGTCAAGGACTAGTCGCCGGAAATGCTTGATTTTGACGCTTGTTCGTTCGCTGAAAAGAAGAGTCGAGGAAAGCTAGACTGTACATCTGTGAAAAACCGGCCGTCACTATGACTGAACTTCATTTTATCGCTTCGTTGGAAGGATTCTGATGTTACAAGGACCACCAGTCATGTCAGCCTCTAAAAAGCTAGGCCAACACTTTTGGCAGCGAGGAATAGCCTGGACGAACTTTCTGAATACCTTAAGATCACGTCATTATCATTCCCACCGAGTTTCTAGTTAGAAATTCTACAAAAACCGATCCCCTCCTCGAGTCATTTGCATAAAAACGCTATCGCCCCCATCGTTGACTCATTTTCTCGCCGGGCAAAGGGCAGCACACGACTTGCCATCGACCAGATGTTTACAGTTCCTCCCAGAAGCCCCATGGTGCCCGGTTAAGGGGCAGGGCCGAGTAATGTTTTGATCCGATCCGAAGATTGTGAGTCGACCACGAGCCCAGGCTTCTCACTTTGGTTTCCCAAGAAGTTCCCCTTTCGTTGCGCCGTTTTCTAACTTTAAATGCAGTAATAAAACTTTCTACTCCCAAGCATTGACAAATTTTTGGTATTTTCGATATTTGCTGTCTTTAGAAAAATGCGGCCCATTTTGGGCTGGCTGCTGTATCTCTTCGCCTTCTTGGATGCGTCTGATTCTAAACTCCACGAAGTCGGGCTGCGCGACCCGATGGAGACGTTGAGCCATCGAGGGAAGGGATTAGGTTAGTATTTTTTTAATTGCTTATTGATATTTGTTTGTTAATCACTTGCGGTCATGTATTGTCATACGGTTTAAATAGCGGATTTAGATAGCGTTGAACCTATTCTATTTGGAGCCAATTCGACGAAGCAGAAAATCCCCTCATTCCGCGAGATCTGGCATTGGTTCGCGGATCCGACGGAAGTTGAATGGAAGCACACATGGATGCAACAGTTTCATAGGTATCACCCTCCTATATTATCTGTTAAACAACAACTTTGACTTTTTTAGAAACTTCACGATTGATGCTACTGATTACTGTCATGGGCCCCAGGGGAAAGATCGGATGATAAGGGTTAGCAGTACGATTATGAATATTGCGGCCCTAGAGATGGGAACGATGAGGAATGAGGAAGCAAGGTAATGATAGGCGATAGAGTGAAAACGGGTGAAAGTGAGAGAGACAGAGAGAGTGCGGAGTGAAAGAGAGAGCTAGATAGATAACGAACGAGAGAGATATCGAGAGAGATCGAGAGAGAGAGAGAGAGTGAGAGAGAGATATCGAGCGAGATCGAATGAGCCAGAGAGAGCGAGAGAGAGAGAGAGCGTGGAAGTAGAGCAAAAGAGGGAGCGACCGAGAGATTCCATCCTTCAGGCTTTTCTACGCTCTGGCGGCTCTGTTCTACATCGTCAAATTGGATCCGGTAAGGCTCAAAATTGGGCCGCTGGACGATACGTAAGAAACCGACAGCTTTTCGGTCATATAGGATACAAATTTAGGTGCGATTGCGATTGCTGGGAGATGATTTGCAGTTTTCTCGATTCACACTCATTGCCAAATGGGATCCAAATTGTCAAGCACGTGCAGCCGAAGCTAAAAAGTCTGGCGAAAATCGACTCCCATTTGGATGGGATTTGTAAATGGTAGTATTTTGAGGAGATTGGAAAAACATGCAAAACTCCCCCAAAACTAACCCGATTCACAACAAACAGTTTTTTTTTCAGGGACCCAAAGGCTGCAAAAATCGCTACGAAGCCAGCCTCTCAGCAATTTCTCGGCTACGTAACAGGCCTAAAAACGATGCGACGGCCAATGTACAAAAATGATGAAAGAACTGGATTTAACCGCTTAACTGGTAAACATCACGTAGTTTTAGCAGAAAGTGTACGTTTTCTTGATAAAATCTTTGTACGATTAAGGTATATGTCCCTTTTCAGCCTTCCAAAATGACTATCGTGAACTTGTAAACATGCAATACATCTATGAACCGGTCGTCAGCTTGTGGCAATTGCCAGATTTTGGAGGTAGCTTCTTAAATATCTTGATAATTACAGTATCTTTAGGCGCTGGTAGTATAAAAGTACGGTATGATGGTACACACTTTCTAATTTCTGGAAATGAGGTGTTAATTTCTCTAATTTGGACGTTTATGTATTACAATCTCCCAGGTGCGTTTTAGGAGGTTCTGATTTTTAGGGTATCTTCTCCAACCTTTAATGTTCAGCACACAACATTTCAAGTTCTACAATATTTAGCGCAAGGCTGCTTCCGTGAACTCGACAAAGCCCAACCGTATTTCCGCCTGGTCTCCTCCAGCAAGACGATCATGAACTTCTACGGCCCGAAAGCCATTTGCATGTTCACCGGCGATGTGGTGGACTTGCACAACGACTACAGCGAGTACGACCCGGAGTTGTCGCCAAAGCGGTGGGAAAGCAGAGATTTAGGAGGATTTTGAGCTTTATGAACTTGGGAAAAAGCTAATAAATTTTCAGTTGGGCTCGGGATGTCTCCAAAACGATGCGCGACTTTGGATTCGTCGAGTCGAACGAGTGGCTGTTCGCCTACGACGTGCATAACTTTGGGAACCTCGGATTCTATCTAGAGCGACCTCGGCTGTCCGTTTTCGTGATATTCTGCCTCGCGGTCCTCACCTGGCTCCGTTACAACTTCGACATCTCCATCCTCGACATTTATCGTTGCTTGTGGTCTGCGACGGCCGCGTTTTGGTTAATTTTTAAGGCTTTAAGCCTGGGTAATCTGTTAACAGGTGCCGTAAGATTTAAAAAGGCTTTTTTTACCTTAAAAATTTTTTTTTCAAATCGTTATCATTGTTAACTGCGTTTATATTAGCATTTTTAGCTGGGGCTCACGACCGCGAGCCTACCGTCCGTTCCGAAAGGATCCTGTGTGCGCTAGACCGGCAAGGATTAAGAAAAGGTAAGTAGTAAGATAGAACCTTGGCTTTTACCCATAAAAAGGATTTTGGCGTAATTTAACGATTCCAAAAGCCGAAAAAAAATTTCTGAGTTATGACGGCTGATTTTTCGGACTTAACGAAAGTAGTTGAATTCTCACGGTCAAGCTTGAGGCTTTTCGGCCAGCGCAGCACCGCACGCACCACTTCGGAAGTCGCCGAAGAGCTTCGGTTTGATCAGCATTATCCCCGATATCCTGGAGACCCCGAAACCGTGCCCGTGTCCCAGAGGAACATTCAATGCGCCGTGTGCAACGAGGAGACCACAGTTCCGGGAACTTCCTATGTTGAGGTAAACGAAATGTTTGAAAATTATACCTTAAGTCTTTATCTATATAAAGTTCATGAGATTAGGTATCAACTTTTTAGATTGAATGTATCAGCTGCGGTATCTATCACGTTGACTGGGTCTGCTACCGGATGATGCTTTCGGACCGCGGTCTGGACGCTACTTGTCGTCAGGTGGGGCTTGATCAACGTCACTAGCTAGCTAGACTTCCGGCTAAAAGTTAAATGACGCTCCAAAGTACACCCGAAACCGAGTAATTATCCGTGAGAATCCGAAACATAGCGCGTGGGCCTTGGAGTTACGCGTAAACGACAACATTTCTAGATCTTGAACTTTCTAGCTTTTTACAGATGTAGTGACAGGAAAAAGATGACGTGTCCACAAAAATATTCTATTATTTGCTACTTCAGGACCAGCTGAAATACGACGAATGCTTGGCCTGGGCTTGCCCCGGTCATATCTCTACCATCCAACGCATCCACCAGTCTGGGGAGAGGTTGAAGGTAAAAGTCACCTTTTCCTGATTTACGTTACAAATCTTAGGTTCTAAAACTGGCTAAGCGGACGGCTTCCGGAAGATAAAAACTTCACCTCAAATCGCCTTAATTCCACGAATCTCACTTTCTACAAAAATCATTGAATCTCTTCCCCCCTCGCCCCACTTTTGCCTTGAGATTATGCTTATTAATGTATTTTTTCGAACTGGTCTTCATTTTTTAAGATCCTAACACAACAAGCTGTATAATGTTTTGCGAGCTTTTTCTTGCCAGTAGCTATTCTGAGTCGAGCTTTAATATCACTTCAAGTGTTCCAGCTTGTTTTGACGCCTGATTCGTTTAGGTGATAAGCGGAAGCACGAAAGCCAATGCAGCCTTTTTATGCGAAAAAGGACGCTTTTTCTCGCGACATTGAATGTATTGATGTGCGAGTAAAACTCACATTGAGAATCGCCCACTTAAAAAAACGTTTATAACCATATCGACGCCGTCCTAACGTATGTTCCATTATGTTTCCGTACTTTCAATGAAGATATACATCGCGGTAACCACGGATATAGTGCTGAGATTGGCCGAGACAATCAACAATCGCGCCTTGGTCGACTTGGATCCTTCCCGAACTCATCATCCCGAAATACCAGCTGCCAAAGACTGATAATAGCTGGATTATGCTGTCGAAATTTCAGAATATCGAACTTTTATGCCGTCGAAATTTAGAAATGTCAAATTTGCGAAATGTCGACGTTTCAATCTGCCGATTTTCTTTGCATTAACAGGCCGTCACCGGTTTCTTTATATTTTTCACGGTTCAGGGTATGAGAGGTACTGAGTCAAGCTTTAATGTCATGCGGTTTTTGGCAGTTTTACCAGCAGAATAAGCCAAGTTTCAAGTTTGTTCAAACCTTGCCAAGGTGAAAACGATTTATTTACATCAGCTCAAAAGCAACAAATTTAGTACAAAGCAATGCAATAATAGAAGCTGTTCCGGCTCTGAAACATTTGAAATGTCATAGACGTTACCTTTGCATCCTTTGGCACATCCAGCCTCTTGACCGCAAAATTACAGCCCGTGCCACGTTTCCGGCGTTTTCCAATGGAGCTTCCGCTAGGGCCCGGCTGGTCGCAGTCTTTAGGACCGTTAGGGCCCGGACTATCATCTGGAAAAATTTCGTAAACTGGAAAATTCATTGAATTACGTAGTTGCATGTCGCGCACCAGCCCCTCGTTGTAGATCGCGTCCATCTAAAAACGTGTTTGAAGGCGCTGGAATAGGTGCCCAAAAAGTCAATCAAACCCCGAGCCGTCACCGCAGGGATCTTCCATCGCTCCTTGGCCACTTTTTCCATTTCCTCGCGGTCCCGAAATCCACCCGGCCTGTTCATCGCCTCGCTGATTTCTGCTCTCATCTGTGGGCTCGCTTTATCGTACCATTTCTCTAAAATTTGAATTTACTTTTTTTTGCGCCAAAAAAATAGAATGACTTCGAAGTTCCAGTTCCGGCCTAGGCCCGACCCATTTGAAGCCGACAGCGGATTCTAAAAATGAAAGATCGAAGGGCGCGTGAAAAAGGCGCGTCACGCACGCTCCTCCCAAAAAAAGCGGAACAGGCCGCGACTCACTGATTGGCTCTTTTGCATCCAGCTTTTTGAAGGAGAGCTGAATCTAAATGAGAAATCTTCTGTGCTGATTTTTCATGCGTTTTTGACCAAAAATCCAAAAATCTCAAAACTTTTTGGGATTATGACCTTGGTATACCGACAAATAGCGTAGAAAGCTACATAAGTCTTTCACGTACACACCTGCGCCCACGGCAATCCGGTCTTTTTCTCCATGCTTCTCCTGTCCTCCGAGGTCAAGAAGCTCATTCTTCGGGCTTTCTCGTAATATGGCTTCAGCATTGCTCGGCGTTCGGTCCCAATATTTTGTGTTGCCGGCCCTTAAAAGTGCTAAGAAGCCATCATTTGAGTTTTCGGAACCGAGCATATTTGTGAAAAAATAGAAAGGATCATTCCTAAAATTACCGACAAATGGTAGCGTGGACCAGACTTCTGTGTCCCTTTAAAGTAGTTTTTAAATGGCTAATAATTTTTATAGCCCTCCACACCTATATTATTTTGGGAAGTACTTACGGTCGCTTTTCACCTTGACCCTAACTTTCTCAACTTTCGCGTTCGCTTGCCGCTTTTGTTCCAATCGCCATTCATATTTCACCTAAAGTGACAAACAATTTTTGCTATAATTTTTGTAAGTCTCAGCCTAAGCCTAACCTAGCTTCAGCGAAGCCTCAGCCCAAGTATTTACGAAAATCACCCACCCTTTCCGGGTCCCAATCATTGATGGCTTTCAGTTCTAATAACGTGGTTTCGGGTATTTTGTTGAGCATCTTGACGTCGACGCCCTTCATAAACTTTTGCAGGGCTTGCCTTTTCTCGGCATCTAGAATTAGAACGTTTTTATTGAACTCATGAATTACCGGAAAATACCAGCCCACCGGGTTTCTTGGTTGGTACAATGTCTGGGAACATCTTCACTTGTCTAAACCATTCGCCGCGGATCTAAATCGGAGTTTCAAAACTTTTGCGATATCTCTCTCTCTCTCTCTCTCTCTCTCTCTCTCTCTCTCTCTCTCTTTCTCTCTCTCTCGCCTTTACCAGATGCTTCTTCATCTTTGTCTTTCGCATCAATTCGCTCCATTCGGCATTCGACAGCTTTTCCAAATCTCCGCTGCGCTCTTTGAACTTTTCGTGAATAATTTTTTGTTTTTCTAAACTTGGATCGCAAATTTGATCGAATTTTTAATTTACCAGTTTTTAACCCGTTGGCTGGGTCATCATCGTCTTGCGGGCTGTGCCGGCCATCCAAAATCCAATATTTCAGTAGAAAATCACATCTTACCGGGCTGATACGGACTATCCGCGCCGCCACCGGGATCGATGATGTCTTCTGCCGGTGCTGAAATAGCCGATAAAACATCTCACCCCGATTTAAAAATGGCTTTATTTTCTATTCAAGTTCTGTTAATTTTTGACCTCCGCCAATCCGCTGCTCATCGTCCGAAATTGAGTCGACGTCGATGGGAGAGCCACGATCACTGCTAGTTCGCCGTTGGGGGCTCAGGCTGAATTAGTGCTTCCGGTTTTTCATTAAAACGTACCAGTTAGAAGCTATAAAAAATGTAAATAGTAGGCCCCACATGGTACGAGGGAAAAATGGCAAGTCGTCTAGGGAAAGCGCCTTGCACAAGCACTCGAGGCCAGGAATTAATTTTTTCGCGGCAGATTGGCATTAATTCGATTTTTGTGTTTTCGTTATGATACTGTCATTGTTTAAAAATAACATATTACTAACTTATCTATTACTTATTGCTTGCCAGTATTGGTGTACCAGTATGAAGTCGAGCTTCAATGTCATGCGGTTTTTAGCGGTTTTTCCAGCAGATTAAGCCAAGTTTCAAGTTTGTTCAAACCTTGCCATGGTGAAAACGATTTATTTCTATCAAATCCAAAGCCACAAATTTAGAACAAAGCAATGCAATAATGAAATTGTTTTTTCTCTGAAACATCTGAAACATCTTAAGTCTCACCTTTGCATCCTTTGGCACATCCAGTTTCTTGACTGCAAAATTACATCCCGCCCCACGTTTCTTGCGTTTTCCAATGGAACTTCCGCTAGGGCCCGGCTGGTCGCAGCCGACATTGCTTGCTTCAAAAACTTTTTGCGCTTCAAAAGCCTGAACTCACGGCTTTTCCATTGGCGCACCATCCCCTCATTGTAAATGGCGTCCATCTGTTTATGAAAGCAAATTAAATTTTCATTAAAATTCAGGACCTCCATGGCACTAATGCCCCATCGCTCCTTGGCCACCTTTTCCATTTCTTCGCGGTCCCGAAATCCACCGGGCCTGTTCATCGCCACACTGATTTCCGCCCTGACTTCCGGGCTGGCTTTGGCGTAAATGCTCCCTAAAATTTATATGCCACGGTTCTAGCGTCAAAAAAAGAGCGGTGACTTCGGAAATGGAACTCCGGTCTCGGTCCCAGCCATTCGAAGCCGATCGCAGATTCTAAAATCGGAAAGTCAAGGGCACTGAAAAAGTGCGCTGCGCAAGCAAAAAGTGAAAGAACCGGTGACTTACTGATCGGCCGCTTTGCGTCCAACCTTGTGAAGGTTTTGCGAATCTAAAGTATAGTCACCATATTTCTTCTAATATAACCCCGGGGGTTATATTTTTTTCGGTCACCCCTGGGGGGGTATAATAGAGGGGGGCTTATTTTTTTCTGATCGACTAAAATCTCTAAAATTGGGTTTAAACTGGCCGGATTTTGCCCAAAAACACATTTTTTTGGCAGCAGGACGCTTAAAATAGCTCAAAATAGCATTGTGACGCCTAAAAGTCACTTTTTTTTTGAGGTTTTTGGCTCCTGACAATGAGTACAATTTGAGAAAAAATTTGGGGGGGGCGGGTATATCAGAGAGGGGGGGATTATAATAGAGGCTGTTATATTAGAGGACATAGGTTATACATCAACCGTGTGTGCCCAAATTGTAATTGTGTAATAATTATCACATTCTAAACCTTATTCATAGCGAAAATCAAGTTTATTTTGCGGTTTTGCATTGTGGTTTTGACGGATTCAGAGCTCGAGATCGTTAACAAAATGAAGCGGGAACATTGCTTGCTGGCGAAAGCTCTTGCTTACAAATATAGCGTCTAACCTGGGAGATTTCATCACTTTCAATATTCAAAATCGGCAGAAACCGGGCTAAAAAAATGACCATTTTTCGGCAAATTACTCATGCTACAAAAGCCAAAAACGCGAATCATCATCCAAAAAACATAATTTTTGGCGATAGCTATTTATTTGTCGACAATTTGCCTTGAGAATTTGGCTGCCAGTTTTTTTTGGCGGTCCTATCGCTGGTAAAGATTTGAAGCCGATTGGATGTAAGACGATCGTGCCACGCAGCTTTTTTTACGACAGACAACTCTGAAAATCCCCCTATTTGCACAAGCAATTTCACCGTTACGGATCTATCCTATTTTTGGGGACCGTGTAAATTTGCTTTTCCGCAATTTTACGCGCTACTTCTCAGAAAACTGAGTCACCTGATCCCAGGTCAATCCGGTTTTTGCTTCCATTAGTTGCCTGTCTTGCATGGTCAAGAAGCTCATCTTTCGGGCTTGCTCGTGTAGCGGCTTCAGCATTTCTTGGCGTCGAGCCCCGATTGCCTGCGTCGCTTAAAGTCATTTTTAATGGAGCACTCTTTAAAGGGGCGCACTCTCTAACCGGAAATACATGCAAATTTTTCCATGCTTCATGGGCAGCGCGCGCGGTCCCTACGTCCATAGGGTGCACAGGTTGGGACGAGTACACGGCCCCTCCCTGAGCATGCGCTTTAAATACATAAAAGTGTTTCGCAACCCTGTACCCGAATATTAGTTTTTTAGTATTTACCGGATGGCCTGTTCTTAGCTTTCGCTTCCTCGCTTTTCCTAGACCATTGCCGCCTTTTTTCCATCTCCCATTCATATTTCACCTAAGATAAAGATCAATTTCTGAAAGCGGCTTTGCTCTCCTAGGAATTTACGAACTGCGCACATACCCTTTCAGGATCCCAATCATTAACAAATTTCAGCTCTCCTAACGTGTTTTTAGGAATTTTCTCGCGTTGCTTAACGTTGTCGCGTTTCATGAGCTTTTGCAGGGCCTCTCGTTGCTCGGCATCTGGGATTAGAAATTTTTTTGTTAAGTTCGTAGGTTACCGGAAAATACCAGCCCGCCGGGTTTCTTGGTTGATACGAGGTGTGGATAGATTTTTACCTGGTGAAACCATTCGCTGCGGATCTAAATCGAAGCTTCAAAGGTTTTTCAAAATGCGGTTCTTTTGCATTATGGGTGGTGGAAGAAATTGTTTTTTACTGATAAAACCAATACACCTTGTAACGTGACATAATTTCTTTCTTTCTCTCTGTCTTCTCTCTCTCTCACTCACTCTCTTTCTCTCTCTTTCTTACTCTCTCGCTCTCTCTATCTTTCTCTTTCTCTTCCTCGCTCTGTCTGTCTCTCTCTATCTCGCTCTATCTATCTCTCTCCCTCGCTCTCTATCTTTCTCTCTCCATCTGCACTCGAGGCCACTGGCATTTTCGATACAAAGAAATTAGTTTGGGCTACATTACCTGATGCTTAGTCATACCGGCCTGTTTCCTCAATTCCCTCCATTCCTTTTTCGTCAATTTTTCCAAATCCCCTGCATGAACTTTGAATTTTTCGTGAATCATTTGCTGCCTCTCTAAACTTGGTTCTAAAAGGTGATCAATTTTCTAGATTTACCAGCTTTCAACGGTTTTTCTGGGCCGTCATCATCGCCGGCGTCCAAAATTCATTATTAAAAGTTAGAAAATCACGTGTTACCAGACCGAACCGGACTATCTGCGCCGCCACGAGGTTCGTTGATCTCTTCGGCCGGCGCTGAAATGGCAAAGAAAATGCCTTGCCGGCCATTTTTGAAAAAGTTGTTTTTTCTTTCCGGATTGGATCAATTTTTCACCTCCGCCAATCCGCTGCTCATCGTCGGAAATGGAGTCGACGTCGATGGGCGAGCCACGATCGCTGCTAGTTCGCCGTTGGGGACTCAAGCTAAATCTAGAGGGTTCCCGTTTTATAAATCAATTTACCAGTTTGATGTAATAAAAAAGGCGAATAGTAGCCAACACATTGTGCCGCCAAAAATGGCAAGTCGTGTGAGGCAAAGCGACTTCTCCGCGAGTACTCGAATCCAGGAATTAATTTATCTCGGCCGCCTAGCATTAATTTCGCACGTTATTTTTGTGTTTTCTTTACTGATAACGAATCTGCCTACTATATAAAATTATATTATTAATTCATTTTTGTGTGTTTATTACTAGTGTTCGCCTTTCTTCTCTTTTAGATAATCTTAATGTTTTCAGGCTTATCTTTTGAGAATCTCAGTCGAGCCTTCATATCACCTGCAAAATTCCAGTCGTGTTTTTACCTCCATAAATGAATTTTTATTCAGATAAACAGATTTTAAATCATATATATTTATTTTCACAGCACAATTCACAAAGATACTACGAAGGAACACAATAAAATAAAATGATCCGCGTCTGGAAAATCTGAAATACTGTAGGCCTTACCTTGGCGTCCCTTGGCACGTCCAGCTTCCTGACTGTAAAATTACAGCCGGCTCCACGTTTCTTGCGTTTCCCAATGGAGCTTCCGCTAGGGCCTGCTGCTGACTGGTCGCAGCCGGCAACGCTTTCTAATAAGTTTTTGCAAGTTTGAAAAGCTTCCATTTACGGGTTTGAATTTGACGGGCCAGCCCCTCGTTGTGAATCGCGTCCATCTGGAAACGGTTAAAGTGACGATTGAATGATTTCACTTCATTTCAAAGCGTAAATGGTGCATTAAAAATCTAAGAAAATTAAAACTAAAATTAATTAATTTATTTAATTTAAAAACCAAATAAAAATTTCAAATTTTGCTTTTCTTGGTCCCTTCGTTTAATTGCGTTAATTCCATCAAAATCCCCGACCTCCACACCACTGATCCCCCATCGCTCGCGGGCCAACTTTTCCATGTCTTCACGTGCCCAGCCGCCCGGCCGTTGGTTCATCACCTCGCTGATTTCTTGTCTGGTTTTCGGGTCCGCCTCGTTGTAAATTTGCCCTAAGATGCAATCCAGCGTTTCAAAGTGAAAAACGAGGTCACTTCGACGAAAGTAGTCCGGAGGCTCGGGCCATTTGAAGCCGACGACAGGCTCTAAAATTGACAAGCCGATAGGTGAAACATTTTTAGGTATGTATGACATTTTTTTTGATTTAACATCCAGCGCATTCGCTAAAGCTGAGAATTTCAAACAATTTTTATTTTCGAAAGCTGCTGAATGGTGGCAGGTTTTGGAAAAAATTTTCTCAGGATGGGACGATTTTGCCAATCTACGTCCCACCCCATAACAAAATGTAAACGTTGCGAAAATTTTGCTCAGAGAAGGGGATCGAACAGCAAATTTAAAAAAAATAGGTTTAGAACAGTTAGTTCTATGGAATCGTCTCGCTTTATGACGCCAGGAGGAATGAAAAACTACTCTTTTTAGAAAAAGACCCCTCAAGCCGCGTCACGTCCAAAACAAACTCACTGATCGGCTGCTTTTTGTCCAGCTGCTTGAACGTTTTGTCAATCTAAAGAAGAGCGGAAGTGTCCAAAATGTAGACACTAATTGCTAACGATAACAGATTTATAAAAAAGCATTAAAGAATGACCGCTGGATCTAATTAATGGCAACCGCCCGGTCATTTTACTTCATTAATTAGCTCGCAAGCAACCCGTAAAAACGGGAAAATTTTACAAAATGGCTTGTAAAATAGCGCATTTCAATAAAAAAACAGTTGTGAAGCTCGTGCAAAAGCTTTCGAATGGTATAACCATCATCCCGATCCGACTCTGTACATTTTACGGGCCGACCTGCTCCCATCTCAGTCCGGTTTGGTCGGCCATCGCTTTCCGGTCTACATAAGTCAAAAAGCTCATCTGCCGGGCTTTTTCGTGTAGTGGCCTCAGCATTTCTTGTCGCTGTGTCCCAAACGGTTTTGGAGGCGGATCTGAAACGTATTATTTTGATGCGTCAAGACGTCTTAAAGGCACTTCGGCATCTGGACGCCACATCCGATCGGTCCCAAATTTTAGCCAAAGGTCTTTTTGGGGGCAGGCTGTAGCTCGATGCCCAACCTACCGGCCTTTTTCACCAACTTCGCTTGCACTTCCGTCTCCCTCACCGACAATTGTCGCTTTTGTTCCAGTCGCCATTCGTATTTCACCTAAACTAGCGACCATTTTTCGAAGTTTTGGCCCAAATTCATTTTCATAGTGACGTACAGCCCACCCACCTTTTCCGGGTCCCAATTATTCAGGGCCTTCAGCTCGGCGAATGTGGTTTCGGGAATCTTCTTCAGGACATTAACGTTGACGCGCCTCATAATCTCTTGCAGGTTTTTTCTGGCTATGTCATCTGGAATTAGGAAATTTTCGTTCGTCAGATCATAGCTTACCCCGGGGTATCGTCCACGGAGCCTTGGTCCCCGCGATCTTTGGATACGCCTTTTACCTGTCGCAACCATTCGCTGCGGATCTAAGTCGATTTGGATTTGAATCGAATTTTTGACGCTCTGTTGTCGGGACCTTGCACAATCAAATTTTTTCTTAGAAAATCGCCTTTCGACTATGGGCCCTGGGGCTTACCAGATGCTTATCCATCCGCGTCTGCTTGATCAATTCTTTCCATTCGGCCTTTGTTAACTTTTCCATAACTCCTGCATGCTCTTTGAACTTTTCGTGGATTATTGCTTGTTTCTCTAAAATTTGGGGCCCTAACCTTAGCGGCTTTTCCGGAATTTACCAGCTTTTGGCGGCCTTGGTGCAGG